TGGCAGCAGGTAACAGTGGCCCTGGTAGGCAAGTAATAAATGATGGCTTTAAAAAACAAAAAGAAAGAGAGAGAGAGAGAAAGATTTCTTCACTTTACAAAATCCCACGGGACATGAGAGCTATAATAAATGAGCCACAGTCTGAGGTAGGGAAGAACAGGTTTTAGGAACCAGGTCAGGAGCAGGCTCAGGAGCCCAGGGGTAGTGGGTGTGGGGTAGGCCTGTAAACAACAAACCTCTAGAAAGAGGTCTCTGTCCTCTCCGAGCATGGCTTCCAGTCAGAGCCTAAGTTCCTTGAGGCAGGGGTAAGGGGCGAAGTCTTTGTAGACAGCACACAGTGTGTCTTCCACACACAGGAACCTGAACAGAAGTATCCATGAGCCTAGGCACGCTGGCACCCCCAGGTCTTCACACTCAGAAAAGCTTTTCCTCCTCTCCCTGTTTCTGAGGGATTCCTTCTCGTTACATCTTCAAGAGAAGAGCTTGTGGGTCGTAGACAGATGCACAAGGAGGAAGGTCACTGATCTCAGGAATCCCAGTTCTTCCTCGGCTCTGACTTCTGGGCCTCGATGGAGACTGCCTCGCACCACGGGAAACTCTTTGTGTGCTTGAGCCACACTCCCTCCCGTGGGGGTGTTGAGGAAGAGGGGGTGCTAGGGAGGGGGAGGGGGGAAGGAGGAAAGGAAAAGTTTCCTTTGCTCTAAAAAATACATGATGTTGAATCTTCATAGGGCATAAAAAAACATGGACATAAGGTATGATAAAAAACATGTTTGGTTTTCCCGGCACAGAGCTTCTAAAACCCTTGGAATGTCCTGAGGGATAGGAGTATATTCTGTTATTCTTAAAGAGCCTCTTTTGACCACACCTGAGTTTATGCTAATGATTGGGCCCCTAGGTCTTCAGGATTGGGGCTGGTCACTGGAAAGACCACCCACTTGATGAGCGGCTGGGATCTTTCAGTCCCCCATACCCCATCTCTAGGGAGAGGCAAGGGGGTCTGGAGATCGAGTTATGAAAACTCTGGGTGAAAATATCAAGGTCCTGGGAGGGTGACCTGCGGGAGAAGACAGGGGAGCTCAGTGTCCCTGCCCCCTTCCCGTGCCCCCATACCTTGCCCTGTGCATCCCCTTTCCATTGGGTTGTTGAGTTGTATCCTTTAGAAAAACCAGTAAACATGAGTGAAGTGTTTTCCCGAGGTCTGTAGCCTTCCTAGAAAATTACTGAACCTGAGATGGTGTGTTGTGCAACTCCCAAATTTGTAGTTGGCCAGGTAGAAGTGCAGGTAGCCTGGACACCCCAACTGTATCTGGTATCTGAAGTGGGGGCAGTCATGTGGGACTGAGCCCTTTAACTTGTGGGATCTGAGGTCAACTCCAGGTAGATGCTGTTATGTTGAACTGAATTGTTGCACACCCAGCTAGTGCTGGAGAACTGTTTTTTGGTGTAAGAAAAGACATTGTGCATTTGGTGTCAGAAAACACCACACACACGTAGCTGAAAAAAATAGTTTTCAAAAATTCTTCTGTTGGAGTGAGCAGGACTGAAGCCGTATTGGGACCTAAAACCACCTGGGTGGGAGGGGATTTTAAAAAGGGCAGTTTTTTCTTTTTTTTTTTTTCTCTCCACTCTCTCTTTCCCATCCCCTGACTTTCTTATCTCATTTGCTAAATAGAAAAACAAGCCTGAGAAGCTAGTCAGTACTTTGCAAAGCTAACAGTTCTCTCCTTGAGACTTGTAGAGTTTTGAGAAGTGGTGGAGGTCCAATGACTGGAAACTGACCTTGGGCACCAGCAAGTCAACCAGAACTCTGTGAAGGGAAATTGTGAAAAAGACTGCAGAAAAGATGATCCTACACCAGAGCAAATCAAAACCTTGCAGGGTCCTGAGATAACAGCAAAGATGAGAACAGAAACCAGATGAAGCCTTGGCAAGACCTTGCACCTGACTCGCAGACAGGGACCCCTCGTAGCTCATGTCTCGTGCTCTCCTGCTTTTCACCTCCCACATTCCACTCTGTCAACCCCTCCTTTAAAAAACCATCAGTAAATCTAAGTCTTTGAGATGGGGTAGCCTACCATCTCCTTCAGCTGAATATATCTGCTCTTTTAACACCAACCATTTGACTTTTGAGTCTTTTTTCTTTCCTTTTCAAGGGGGCAGGCAGCCAGACCTGAGTTCAGTAACACTTCCAGTCAACTATTTTGATCTCAGAGGAGGAGAGCAGGCCTCCTTCCATCCCTTGTCCCCGAAACTTTTTTCTCTCAGTGAAACATAACAATTAAAACATCACTCTTAACCTTCAGATGCTGTCATGGCCCTAAGCAAGCCACTGGCTGGCCTACCTACAAGCAGAAAATGTGGCATTTCTACATGTCCGAGAGGAAGCAATAATGATTGTAGAAATTAAAAAGGTAGACATTTTAGGAAAAAAATATGGTTTGCAAGCCAAATGCTATGAATACCATCATTAGAATTAGGAGGTTAAAAATAGAAATAAACATACGAAGGCTGAGAAAGATAAAGCCAGAAAAATGGTCAGGATTTCACAAAAGAGGAAGCAGATTTATTAAAAGCCAGTGCAAGGAGAGACTGGATGGCTCAAATGTCTCTTCAGAAACTGAAATGGCTTGTCACTTCTTCTCATCGATTAAATCAGATTATGTCTGACAAGCCTCCCAAAATGATAACACTATTCTGCAGAGAAAATACACCAATTGCTTCCTCCTAGGAATATGAAGACATGACAGAGATGGGTGACTTTCTCTTCCTTCAGGTTATCTGAACAATCTGAAAGTCTCAGAAAAAGTGAGAGCAACTGGCAGCAAGGATAGCAAAATCAGCAAACTGTAGATCAATGAGATTTTTTTTTTTTTTTTACTTTTCTGCCTCTTCCATTTTGAATGCAAAGATATGATATTGATGGAGGGGAGAGAGGGAAGGGGGAGGAAGGATTCAGTGAAGGGACACAGAAATCAACCACATTGTATATTGATAAAATTAAATTAAATTAAATTAAAAAAACAAAAAGAAAACAAACAAAAAAACCACCAAAAACAAACAAAGAAAAGATGTATAGAAAATCTACTACTTGCAGAAAATGGATCTGAGTTTAAAACCCTGGAGAAAAGATTATGTGGATTCAGATTTTCAGAACAGGAATCCAGCAACATGAGAGTCTGGAAGACAAAACCCACACAGAGCGCTGTTCCCCGGGCTCCCTACTTCCTGTCCACACTGGTGCTGTCCCTCGGAGCTCATATGGCCCTGTTAGCCTCCCATATGGAGCTTCGCTTGTATATGTCCCTTACGCAGGCTGGTCACCAGCCGGGGAACACGAAAACAGGAATCAATGGATGGTTGTTTAGAAATGGCCCCTGGGCAGCTTCCAAGCCTGCCCTGGGTGACACCTGAGTTCCCTGTGTTCATGCTTTGGTCACGTAAGAACACCAGGGCTTCCAGACCAAATCACAGGGGCAGAGGGCGCAGAGGCACAGCTTTTGGTTAGATAACTATTAAAGTTTGTTTTAAACCCCAAGATTCCTGTGATTCCTTAAATATTCAGTTGGGAGACAGTGTTCCAACTTCTACATAATCTGCAGGTGCCACCTTTCAGATGAATGTCATCTCCCAGCTTTACAAGAGCACATGCCGTGAGGAAATCCAGCATGCTCTTCATATGGCAGGCACCTGAACATAAGTGTTAATTAGTGAAGAAACACCTAGAAATACCAGTGCTCCAAGATCTTCCCATTTAGAACAGTCTGTGCCTTTCCTTCTGTCCTGTTGCTGTAAAGCAGAGGTTTCTTCCACCTGTGACCCTGCTGCCAACCACCTGCCTATCCCCCGCAATATCTCTGGGAAACTAGTTGGTCTTGCTATTTTAGACTCTTTTGCAATGTGTTAATTACACAACCTGATTGTAAATAGCTTAAAAGTAGAAAAGGGTCTCATACATCTCTAGGTCCCTCACATGGCCTAGTTCAATGCCTTCATGTAGTAGATGCTCCAGAAGCTGAGGTGTACAGGTAAATGAGATGAAAAGGTGAGTTTTCAAACAAATGGGGCTGCAGCTGCTTCTGCAAATTTGTCTTAATTAGAAATAAGCTGTGCTTGAAAGAAATTTAGAAGTCTCCGGTGACATCCGCCAAAGCAAGGATGTTTATTTATGGTGCACCTGAACTCAATACAGTATGCCATAATCCAGTTACATTTTTCTTGGAAACCAACACCCTTTTTAAAAAAATTGCCAAATAATATACATTGCTGAAGACCAATCGCTCCCTGAGGGCTAAGGCAGGTGGGCTCCAGAGAGACAGACCCGTCCATAACATGGGTTTCTCTCCATAAGAAAAATGTCAACAGTAGCTCTGGTCCTTAGTGGGCATGGGAAACACCCAGCTTTAAGTACAAAGAGAAGCATTTGCATCATCCCTCAGAGCTCCCAGAGCTTTACCTTATACTGAAGTGCTCCAGTGTTGTTACGGAGTCAGCTTTATTTGTATCATACTATCTTAGCTCCTAGGTTCGCCCTGAGTTTTTGTTTTGTTCATTCCTTCAACAAAAGTTGCATAGTGCCTGTTACAGGTGAGGCAGTGGGCTAAGAGCTGGGGGTACAACTGTGAGCCAACACCGGGGCCCTCCCCTCCTAACGTCCACATTCTAGTGGGGGACAGAGGGACTTGGAGGAGCAAAGAGACAAGTGAATACAAAGTATGTCAGATGATGAGAAGCGCTTTGGGAAACAAATAATGGAGGAGGGTAAAGAGAACAGAGTGGATGGAGGTAGAGGGGAGGGTCTGGGACAGAACAGGGAAGACATCACTGAAAAGGTGACCTTTAGGAAGAGACCAGTAAGGAGGGAGGGAGAACATCAATTGTTTCTTGGGAAAGAGTCTCCCAGGCAGGGAGCAGGAAGTGCAAAGGCCCTAGGGTGGGCGCACATTGGGTGACAAGAGGAGAGGGCGCAGGGGACACGAGAGGAAGGAGGGGCCACACAGGGAGGCACTACAGGCTGCTTCACTTCGAGGACTTCAGGTCTCATGCTGCTTAGGGAAACAGCACCCCTGGGGGATCTGAGACTTCCTGTTCTCTTTCTAGGACTGCGCTGGCTGCTATGCAGAGAACAGACACCATGAGGGAGGCAGGGGCTGAGCAGGAAGACTGGTTGCAAGACTGTACCAATGGAGGTGAGAGACGACACCAGTTTACACCGGGGGAAGCAACGGGTTAAAGTCCATTGGTTAGATCCTGGATCTGTTTTGAAGGTGGAGCTGCCAGAGCTTGCTGATGGATCAGGTGTGAAAGTCAAGAGTTAAGGATGACTCAGGTTTCTGGTCTGTGCAAATGGATGAACAGGTTGCCATGTACCCAGATGATGAAGATGGAGGACAGGGACAGAGTGAGAATGACCCACAGACACCATCAGGCTGCTAGAGGCAGCAGGGACAACTGTTAAAGTGAGGTTCTCAGCAGACACTAGCAGACAGGGTGTCCACTAGAGAAACGGTCTGTGCCGGAAGGGGCAGCACAGATCACGCATCGGGGCAGAAGGGGGAAGGAAGCTAGTGCAGGTGGGTGCAGGTGAGGGGCGGGATGTGCCCACTGAAGAACGTGTCTTCAAATCCTGCAGGGGAAAACTATCATAGGTTTCTACCTCATTCATTCCGGGTAGGTCCTGAAAGGGTCTCACTGTAGCTGAGTGTACCGTGGGACACTCAGCAGATGGCTTTAAGAGAATCCATTTCCTATCCCTCAACTCTACGTGTATCACCACAAAAACTCACCTGCCCAGGAACCGCCTGAGAACATCCTTCACACCCACTTTTACTACTCCAGTTCCACTTTACAAAAAGGACACATTCCTCTTATTTTACCTCAACTCTTATCTTGGGACACTGACCCAAGAACCAAACAAAGGGTTAACTCAAAATATCAGTGTCCGGCTGGCCCGGTGACGCACTGCTACAGTGCGCCACTTGGGAGCGCGGCGGCGCTCCCGCCGAGGGTTCAGATCCCACATACAGACCGGTTCCTGCTCACTGGCTGAGCGAGGTGCGGGCGCAGCACCGAGGTTTGCGATCCCGTTGCCGGTCCCGGTCTGGTACGGGTGCGACACTGAGGGTTGTGATCCGTTGCCGGACACGAAAAAAGACAAAAAGGAAAAAAAAAAAAAATCAGTGTCTGTGTGAATGACCTCAAAAATTGGATGACAAATATTTTCAAAGGTCAAGCGGCATTTAATTCTTTTAATTTTTTGCTTTCCACAAAGTTGAAGGAGAAACTAATCAAGTTGTCAGTTGGTACATTTAATGAAAAACACATTACTTCTGTCGTATAATCTGCAAGAAATTCAAAGAACTGAATAACACTGATTTAAGAAAATGCCTTTCCATGTTACAACATCTATTCTAAAAACACTTACAGAATTAATGGTGAAAACTGTATCATTCTCTCATTGCTAGTAATAAAAAGGAGTCATCTGCAGATACATTAATTTAAAACAAAGCCTTGTCCTTGGCACAGACATGTATTTCCAATAATAAATGTATGTTTAATAATTATTAATATTTGTAATTTATGTCACTTTGATGAATTATGTACCAATAATAGTAGCAAACTTAAATCAATCCAGAAAAAAAAAATTTAACACTATGGTCTGAAAAAGTATTTTTATGTAAATATTTACATTCAAGTAAACCAAGACAGAGGGATTGACAAAAAACTTTCAAACATAAAATTATATTACATTCGGATAAAATTCTGCACGAAAAGTGGGATAGAAATGCAGGTGCAAAGAGAAAAAGGGACTATGTGAAATATCTGACAGTTAAGGAAGGGTTTGTTCATATGGTTTTTTGAACGATGTGTGGATCTAAATATTGCAGTATTTAAATTCTACTTAAAACAGTGACTGACAGTTTAATTTTTAAATGTCGATATTTACAATCTGATGGAAGTGACAGCACTTGCAATTAACAAAATTGAGGTTAGATTTGTAGATGCCAAGTTAAAAATCACAAATGGAATACAATGTTTCAAGATTCTCACAGAAGTCACTAGAGCAGGACATGGGAAGACCTCTGGCTTAGGAGCACTCTGTGGGATTAAATGTGCATCTCTGGAGTATATACAGGGGAGGGCAGGCACTCCTGAGCTCTGTGGACTGGTTAATGTGTAGGTGGTGGACATCTAAATGCAGCTCTGCATCTTATTATTATTTTTGCACGAAGTGCTTTTGAAATGTCCCTAAATCACCCCTCATGCCTACACCAAGTGCTGCAGGCTGCAGCACAATACATCCAGCATTCACTGTGGCACGCGAGGAGTCAGGCGTGACAACCCTGGCTTTTCTCATAGGACTTGCACTGTACCTGCAAATCAACCACAAGCATCTGGGAAGCCAGAGCAGGTAGACCCCCGGGTGAGGGCTGCCGTTGTCTTAACTTACCATGTGCAGCCAAATGTTGGTGGTTAAAACTTGGTTCTTCTCATCCTTTAAAAAAAAAAAAAGCAGCAACATAAATATGGTTTACAAAAGAAGGATGATACAATTATTCGTGTAGGACTGTGGGGATCTTGTCATGTGTGTTAATTAGAATGCACCAAGCACTTCTAAATATATGCAAGCAGCATTTCCCCAGAGTTAAGCTTTTCTATTTATTCTGAAGTAATACCCACTATTATAGAACACTTACAAAAGAAAAGTATAAAGAACAAAATTAAAATGCTGCAAACCTAGCATTCAGAAATGATGCCTACTAATGATCTAGCTATTTATCTTTGTGTATTTTTTTTTACAATTTACTTTAAAAAAAAACATAAAATTGGGTGAAAATTCCAATTTTTTAAAAGTGAGATTTATTACCAGAATCTTTTAAACAAATACAAATATTTTACACTTTCCTCTCCCAGGAAAGGAGGTGTGGCCCTGCGTCGGGCTGCCAGGCCACATGCTGGGGGTCTGTGTGGGCTTGGTCCTGCCTTGTCCTGCAGTCAGGCTGTCTTTTCTTATCCTCTACCTCATAGGCAGCATGTCAGGCCCTTGGCACACACCTGCAGGTGAGTTAACTAAGGATCAGAAAGGTGAAGTGACTTTATGAAGGAGCCATTCAAACTTAGATGTTTCTGAGTCCAGAGCCCATTTTTCCACATTTCCAAAACACCTGAGTGGGGGATCCAGCAGGGTGCCGGGTTTGTGCACTAACCAGGGAGCTCAGGTTAGTGTATCAACTGTGGCTGTGTGTGGGCACAGAGCATCTCAAGAAGAGTCTAATCAAAATTGGCCTTTCCATCAGGGATGCAATCAGTGTTTTCTCACGGCTGGCCAAACCCAATATGGCCCAGCAAAAAACCCACAAGGAGACCCATGAGCACGTTTTATGCAATCATTATACTGAGAATGCTGTTATTCTATATTTAATATTCAATTCCAGCCTAAAGGGCTCTGTTAATTAGCAATTGACGCCCTCTCCAGGGAAAGTATTTATTAATGTCTGCATGAAGACGTGCCTGGAAGCTGAAACATAGGAACTACTTGGCCTGGTTCACTATGGACAATCATCAAAAAAGACTCAGCAGCAGAAAGACCATGGCACCTGCTGGGGAGTAGTCAGGGACAGGGATGCGAATAACATATGAATGCTGCCTCTCATTAAAACAAAAATGTGCTGAACATGTAAAGAGTTGGCAGGGACGCTCTGATGCCTCAGTGCCCCTGCTTTGCCACTCACATGCGGGCACTTTTGAGAGCTGAGAAGAGGGTAGAGGGATCCTATAGAGAGCATAGGGCTGCCTGGGGAGGCACATGGAACATTGTTCCAGGGGATCCCCGGCCAGGGGCTATGTCCAGAAGAAGCTGCCGATTCAGCTACTAGAAAAAAAAGAGATTCCACTTTCCATATAAAATGTGCCAGGACTCTTTGGTAGAAAAAAGCTGTAGAGCTAACATTTCTCTGTGCTCTGTACTGAGTAAACAATCCCCAATAGAGCCATACATTTAAACTGCAGGAGTACTCTAGTTCCAGTTCAGTCTCCAATACTATTGGCAAGCACTGCTAAACTCTTCAGGACATATATCTGTTGCCTCAACTTATTAAGGAGTTGTTGTTTTTAATGGACTTAAAATTAGCATGGGTTCCATTTAGGTGCCTTTGCTTCTTCTAATTGCATTTGTATCTTCATCTTCTGAGAGAAAGCCTTCTGTGGTTTGGGAGCTCAATTACTACCAATCTAATTAAAAGGCTTTCTTCTTTCCAACATTCTAATGGAAACCTCATTAGAGTAACACTGAATTTCTGAGGTGTATGGCAGCATGGGACCAAAGTACGGCATTTCAAACTGTAATCAACAACAAGAAGCAGCCAGCCACCATCTGACAGTGCAGCGATGCCAGCTAGGGGAGCCCTCCACAGAGGCTCCAGGAGGAAAGCCCGCAGGACCAGGCAAGAAGCTGCCATCTGCGTCCCCTGAATGGATCTCCTTCCTCCCTCCCCATCCAGGGCCACGCACTGGCTGAGTCTCTCAGCTCTCTCAATCTGCAGCACACACACATGCACACACACACACACACACACAGACGCACACAGAGTCTGTCCTCGACTCATCTCCAGACGGGACCTTCTGACCACCAATATCATCAGCTCACCCTCCTCCAATGGAGCACAAAGAATCAAGTCAAAAGTCCTCAGTGCAATTCACAAGCCCTTTCTACAAACCGTAGTCTGGCCAAGTTTTCAATCTTTCATTCATTCGTTCATTCATTCAGCAAATACTTATGAAGCACTTCTGTTTCACTAATAATACTGCCCTGGTATGTACAGTGGGAACTGAACATTGTTCTTGAGCTTGTGGAATACAAAACATGTGTTGGGAGGGCTGGGGATTACACAATACAATAGCAATACACCTATGATTAAAAATGATGACAATGGCCAGAAAGGGAAGAAATGGGGCCTGTCAGAGAGGATAAAGGGGAGACTGACTTCACCCAGTGACGAGGGCAGAGTCTGGAGGATGGGGCTTCACATCCACACTCTGTGATCTTATAATACCACAGCACATGGACCCCTGACACCCACCATGTGCACCCCAACCCCGAGCCTTTGTGGTCCCTACTATTAGCCCTTCTGGCCAAGGCTCCATCCAGGGGCGACTGTCTCCACCCCTCCCTCACCTATGACCAGAGGTGAGGGGTGGTGTCTGCCGGCCTTGGTCTCTTCATCTGCCAAATGGTTCCTGGCCAACACCCCTACCTTAGGGGGAGGGATCTTTGGGGAACCTGGCAGTGAAGGACCTGCAGGAGCCTCCTGTCCTGCAAGACATTGACCTGATGATAGATAAATACACCCTCCCCCCATGCGGCTGCTCCGAAAGTCTATCCTCCTCCCCTTCCTCCCACGTCCTTCTCTTCCCTCAGCCCCTCCCAAGCACACCCCACCCCACCCCACTACACCTGGCTCAGTGCCCTGTGTCCCGACAGGACTTCTGCACAGAGGACGCGGGCGTGACTTCTGCTGTGCAGCCCGGCAGGCTGGAGGGGGAGTGGGAGAACTGGTGATGGCTGGCCAGCCTCTGAAGTTGAAACATCTGCAGACAGCACTGCAGTTCATGCGTGTCCTCTGCGCTTGGGCAGAAGTGCATTCGGGGCAAGCACACAGCCACTCCACTCCCATTGCCCAGAATCTACCTGGGGACAAAACCTAGTTTCTCACCCCAGTAAGGAAACTTCCTTCCCTTTCACCTAAATATCTTCCACTGACACCAAAGCCACCAGACTCCCATGTAGCACTCAAGCTTGTTTAAAGCCAGGAATCCGCAGACAGCCTGCATGCAACAGTCGCTTCCCTCAGGAGCTGGATGCCAGACACCAGGATTCTGGCAGGGGAGGGAGATGGAATTTCCAAACCTGAGCCCCAGGGCCTCTGAATAAATGACCAGATTCAGCCCCCTAAAAACAACATTCTATGGTCCTGGGGCACCAGTAATTAGCACACAGTGCAGGCTGGATGTCATAGTCCATCCAGGCTGTTTTAAGAGAATGCCATAAATGGGTTATTTTCAAACAATATAAATTAAATTCTCACAGTTCTGTAGGCTGGAAGTCTAAGATCATGGTGCCAGCATGGCTAAATTCTGGTGTCTGGTGGGGCTCCCTGGTTCATAGACGGTGCCTTCTCTCTGTGTCCTCACATGGTAGAACAGGCAAGGGAGCTCTCTGCGGTGTCTTTTATAAAGACATTAATCCCACTCATGAGGGCTCTGCTATGGGTCACATGTGTCTCCCAAAAGATCATGTGTTGGAAACTTGATCCCCACTGTAACAATATTAAGAGGGTGGGAAACCCAACTATGATATTCAAAAGGTGGGGCCTTTGAGAGGTGATTGGGTTGTGAGGACAGTGCCCTCGTGAACGGATTAATCAATTTATGGAGTAAAGGGCTATCATGGATGTGGACTGGTGGCTTTGTAAGGAGAGCCCAAGAGAGAGCTCTTGCTCACGCCATTTTCTATATCACCATGAGACTCTGTAGAGAGTCCCCCCCTCCAAAGAAGGCCCTCACCTGAAGAGCCCCGGACTGTGGCCTTCCCAGCCTCCAAAACTGTAAGAAATAAGCCTCTTTTCCTTACAAATTACCCAGTTTCAGGTATTCTGTTATAAGCAACAGAAAACTAATACAGCCTCCACCCTCAGGACCCAATCTCCTTCCAAAGGTCCCCCCTGCTAATACCATCACCTTAGGGGTTAGGGTTTCAACATATGAGATTTGCAGCAACACAAATATTCAGACCACAGCACTCTGAAAATGGATTTCAGTAATTCCAGATCCTCAGGACACTGCCTGGCTGTTCTTGCCCTGCCCACCCCCTCGGGCAGGTGGGCTGGCATGTGCTCCAGGTAGCCCCCCAGTCAGCAGGCACTCGGTTTCTGTGGGGATGATAACAGCTACCCTCGCTGCCTCCTGCAGCAGGTGGGACACAGACAGCCTCACAGGATCTGTGAGATGTCCTTCAGTGACAGAGGCTGTCACTGAGAGGCTGCTGGCACACACAGCTCTCCTGCAAGTCTACACATTTTTCTGCCTCTGGAGCCAGACAGGAGGAGATGGGACCCACAGCCCACCATGGAGTCACAGGAGGCCAGCGAAGCCACATACCCAAGGTCACCTGCCTACCCCTCATTCTTTCTAATCTGGATACTTCACTTAGGAGTGCACTCTGATTTACGTGAATGCACTTTTTAAAATCAGTCTCTCTGAACCATCGTTATCTGGCTTATAGCACAACTATTCTGATGATATGTGACATACTATCTTGTGTTTCAACAGCAGTTCTCTTTTGGAAGTTATTAAGTGACGTTACTCAACATTATTTTATAGAGCTCCCATCACTTTTTCTTTTTTTTTTTTTTTTTTGGCTTTTTGTGTAGATGCTGAGAAAAATATACACATAACTATAGATCTAGACATGTCTAAATTCTTGTTGGCAGCA